TTAAGGACAGAGACCTGATATAAGAGTACTATGTGATTTAATTTATTATGTTTAGTAAGAACAGGAAACAAATTTATAATGGTAGAAATAAGAATAATCATCATACTTTGGGTGGTGGTGATGACAGGGTTACAGACTGGTAAAGGGATCAAGAGCACTTTCTGGGTGCTCTGGTATCTGGTGACATACACATCTGGAAAAAAAAGCAGTATGGAGGAGAATGATGCCCTGCTTCTACCATAATTCTCACACAAAGGAAAAAGCACCAATAGTTGGAAGAGGAAGAATTTGGCAAGAATTTCCTTTTTGGCACAAGCAAGAAGGGCCTGCTAAATGTTGAGAGTGGAAAAAAGAACAATGAGAAAAACCTTCCAGCATCCCAGATCTGACACTAAGCCCAAGATATCAACAAATCCATGGTTGAGGAATTTGAAATTTGTAGTGCACTGAAGATGACCACAGCAACCACAAAACCCAAACCAGTTCACCTAGTGATTAGACTTCAAGTCCCAACACTAACACACTGACAGAAGCAGAGAGGTGTCCATTTCCAGGGATAAAAATTATTTACCCCAATCTCACCATTCTCCTACACATGATTTCTAGAACTCAATTTAAAAGAGATATACAGGGCCTCCCTGGTGGCGCAGAGGTTGAGCGCTGGGTTGAGAAGCTGCCCGCAGCCTCTGCAATGCCAGTTCGATCCCCGGCTGCCGGGTGAGGGTCCCACATGGTGCGCAGACCTCTTCTGCCGCCCGCTGCTCCCCTCAGCAGTGTACTTCGATCCTTCTGCCTGTTCTGCTCCCTGCTCTGGCTCTGGTGAATTCTCTCACCCTCCTGCACTTCTGACTGTACCCAGTGCTTGTATAAATAAATAAATAAATAAATAAATAAATAAATAAATCTTTAAAAAAAATAAATAAATAAAAGAGATATACAAAAGCATGGGAAAAAAGAACATATTGTCCAGAAATGAAGCAATGAATAGACCAGATCCAGAGATTACTCACTTGGATGATGGACTTTATAATAATTATGAACTGGCTATTTATGAAACAAAACACAAGTGTTGGTTAGAATGTGAAGAAATTGAACCCTAATATAATGCTGGTGAGAATGTATAATGTAGCAGTCTCTGTAGAAAAACAGTTTGGCAGCTTCTGATAAACATTTGCTCATGTAAAAATGTGTACACAAATATTCAGCATTATTCATAACAGCAAAAAGTGGAAAGAACCCAAATGTTCCTCAACTGATGCACGGATAAACAACATATCGTATATCCATACAGTGGAATATTATTCTACCACAAAAAGGAATAAAATGTGGTATGCTACAACACAGATGAACCTTGAAAATATGCTAAGTGAAAGCAGCCACACACAGAAGACCATATATTGCAAGATTCCACCTATGTGAATGTTTAGAATAGACAAATCTGAAGAGAGAAACACTTGCGAGAGGCTAGATGGAATGAGAGGCTGGGAATGGTTGCTAACTAACAGGTATAGAAAAACTATGCAGTAGTCTATGACCAGTAGGCAAGGAAGTGCTATTTTTAAAACTTTGAGAGAGAGGAAAAACCTGTCAACACAATGCTCAGTACAGAGCAAAAACAACTTTCAAAAAAGAAGGTAAAACAAAGACAACCAGACAAACCCAAGCTGAGAAGAATCACTGCTGGAAGATATATAAAACAACATACATTTTCAAAAGTTATTCACCCAGGAGTATTGGAAATCTGGATTGACATGAAGAAATAAGAGTACTGGAAATAGTAAACATGAGAGTAATATGTCTTTTATTTTAAAAAATTTCCTTAAAAAGTAACTGTCTAAAGCAAAAAATAATAACATATTAAAAGGGTTCTAAAAATAAAATGTATGACAGCAACAACATGAGGAGGATGGGGGAAGAAAATGGAAAGATAACGTTCTAAGATTACCATATAGATGATATCATATTATTTGAAGGTAGACTTTAACTAGTTAAAGAAGTATCTATCTTACAAACCCCAGAGTAACTACTAAAGGAAAAAAGGGCAGTTAACAAATCAATAGTAGAGATAAGGTGCTCAATCCAAAATATAAAGAAAAAAGGAACCGATGAGAAAAACAGAAAACAATCTAGAAACAACTAGCAAGATGGCAGATTTAAATCCAAGCATATCAATAATTATGAAGAATATAAATGGTGTGAACACCTCAACTGAAAGGCAGCACTACTCAGGTTAGGAGGAAGGGAAGAGGGGAAGCAAGACTTACTTATAAGTTGTTTGAAAGAAACCAGTTAACTTGGGGCCTCCCTGGTGGCGCAGGGAGTTAAGCACTGCACTATGGAGCAATCCGCAGCCTCTGCAGCACGAGTTTGATCCCTGGCCGGTCTGGGAGCAACCTACATCGTGCAGCAGACCTCTCCTGACTCACCCACTGCTTCCCTCAGCAGTGTACCTCGGTCCATCTGCCTGTTCTGTTCCCCACTCTGTCTCTGGTGAATCCTCTCAACCCCTGCATCTCTGGCCTGTACCCCAGCTCTTGTATGCATAAATAAATAAATCTTAAAAAAAAAAACAAACAGTTAACTAAAAAAGTGAATAGACAGAAAAAGGATAAGTCAGGAAAAAGAACAGTAATTCGCTCAAAATTGGTCATAGACCTAAATGTGAGAACATGAACTACAAAAATTCTAGGAATAGTCCATTGGTAAATCAAAATGTGCTGGAGAAGTTTGCTAGGCTTCCTGGGTTTAGGTCAGGATCGGTGGAACAAGCAAGATAAGCATTTTTGCTGCCTTGCCAATGGTTCCCCATGAATGCTGACTCATAAATGTTACCATTTTCTTGGATCAGTGGTTTAATTCATATATAGTGTTTAATAAAGGAAATTTGACATTTTCTGGTAGTTAAACTTTTCATGCAAATCAGAGCTCCTTTTCTTTATGGTCCCAATTTTAGATTTCTAATATGTTAACTCCTTTAGAGGTCACTTGTTCTATTTCCCTGGTTAGTTTCCCTAGGTCCTTGGCAGGTGGAGTAGATTTTTGGATCATTACTAATCTTCTACTTTAAAAGGCCTTGATGTCATCAGGATCTATGTGCAGTCCTGTTCTGAGATTAAATGTCTATATGTTGGACACTGAATTCAGACTAACTGTAATTTCTCCTATAAGACCATGTGTCCCTTAATGGCTAAGATTTTCAATAAATGAATGATGAGAGGAATCTTGGGAGGGCAAACAAGGAAGCAAGCCATGAACATGGAGCCCCATTATGTTATATGTTAGCCCTTAAAACTTGTGAGAAAAACTTTCAGTAAAGTCTTGAAACATGACTGTTTAATGTATTATTGTCCTTCCCAGGTAAAAGCAAAAAGATATTGACTATCCCTATCAAAAGGGACACTTAAAATTGCACTGCATTAAAGTTGACCACAGTGACAAAGTTACTCCCAGTAAAGCTGGAGCCCAACAGCACAAAGGGATTAGGGAATGATAGGGTGATTGATGGGAATCAATGTTATTACACTAAGGTCTTGGATAAATCACCATCCTCGGCCACTGGGTTTTTTAACAGGGAAAATAGAGGTCTTAAACGAATTAGAAAGGAGATAAGTCCTTTATAATAGGCCTTATGTCCTAGAAGGCTTCTTTATTTACAGAATATTAGTTTATTCTTGATAGAAAATTTGAGGTATTATTCTAGATCTTAATGGGAGGGGAGCTGTGAATTCTACCTCAGTCTGTTGAAGACCTTGCCCAAACAGCAGAGGGTAATTGGTTTAATAGTTGGGGGGTGAGTCCAATGTTTGGACTTCCTTGGTTTCAAAGTGAAAGTAAAGCAATGGGGTTGAATTTTCATGTGTTGAATTTCAACACAAAGGATATTTTCCTTTTGAGAGCTAAAAATAGCAGCATATTTCTCTAGGAAATCTTACCTTAATAAACATATGGGAAAACATGGTTTGGTAAATTTGGGTTACAACATTGAATTCCTCTGCAAATCTGTAAGGATCCTGTTACCTTGGGATAATCCTTAATTATAACCCCTAAATTCAACCTTTGTCCACGGGTTATAGGAAATCTGATGTGGTTTAGTAGGGTCCCAGAAAGTCTAATTTTGAAAGAGAAGGTTTTAATGACTCAGTGAGTAAAATTTCTTAATAGGAAAGAAGTTCCAACAGAGAGGAAGATCTAAGAAGAAGCAAAGACTATCTAGAGGAGGTGGAGCATGGGGTTATTAGGTGGAACCTCAGCACTAAGCAAGAGGCCTCTGCTATGTTTTTATACATCTTTAGTTGTTTATTTGCTTCAGTCAATTTGGAGAGAGTATTTTATAAGAGCAATTTTAAAATCCTGAACACATTTAGAAGCCAGAAGATAAAAAAATTGAAATGACTGCTCCATTGGATTATTTGATATTGTTGCTATGGTCGTCTTAGTGTGAAAAGAAACAAGTTTGTGGAGATCCAAAATCCTTCACAATGTTCACTGAAGTTTTAAGTTATCCCATTTAATCAAATATGTGCATGGGGAAGGACAACAATTTTTTAACATAAAATTGACGGAGGTTCCCCAAAGGGTATCACCCTTAGAATATTCAGATGACTGGGAACTCATTATCAGAACAAAATAGCACTCAAGGCTCCCTGGTGGCATAAGGGGTAAAGCACCGCACTATGAAGCAATCCTCAGCCTCTGCAGCACAAGTTCGATCCCCGGCTGGCCAGGGAGCTACCCACATGGCACAGCAGACCTCTCCTGTCTCACCTGCTGCTCCCATCAGCACTGTATTTCAGTCAGTCTGCCTGCTCTGCTCCCCACTCTGTCTCTGGTGAATCCTCTCACTCCCCACACCACTGGCCTGTACCCCAGTTCTTTTAAGCATAAATAAATCTTAAAAAAAAAAAAAAAAGCACTCAACAGGAAGATAATCTGTTTATACAGATCTCAAATAAAGTCAGAGAGCTCACCCAAAAGGAGAGAACTCAAGACAAGAGACTTACCAAACAGAAAGTCACAGTGACTTGCAGGACACAAAGCGCTCAGGTACAGGTACCCTGCTCACTTCTGGGGACTCATTGTTTCTTGGTGGTCACTTCCTTTGCATCCCACTTTTCATACCATGTAATATTGACCTATAAGAGGTAAAATGAGGCAAGCTCAAGTTACCAGAAATCAAGTTTATACAGAAATAATAGAGGTACTGTAATTTGGGAGTCTCAATCTGCATCAAGCCACAGGGGTGTAAAGGGGAAAGTCTGTTAGCCATGCAGCAAGGTCATTGGCAAATGCTCACGGGTCAGAGGGTAAATTTCAACTCTATATAAATCAGGCATTTATGGGAAAGCAGTCTGTCAGTCTCTAAGTTTCATTTTTCTAAGGGTATATGTGTAAGTCTCCATTTCATATCCCTTGATTCCATTTTGATTCTATTTTAGATTAAAATCCCTTGAGGGCCTCCCCAGTGGCGCAGTGGGTTGAGCACCACACTGTGAAACTGTCCACAGCCTCTGCAGTGCGGGTTAGATCCCCACCATCTGGCAAGAATCCCACATGACAGACCTCTCCTGTCGTGCCTGCTGCTCCCCTCAGCAGTGTATTTCTATTGTCTGCCTGTTCTGTTCCCTGCTCTGTGTCTGGTGAATCCTCTCACCCTCCCATGCCTCTGGCCTGTACCCCACTTCTTATATAAAAATAAATCTTATAAATAAATAAATAAATACATAAATAAATAAATAAATAAAATCCCTTGACAGCTTTATCTATATCAAGCCTGGGGACAAGTATGAGTAACCAAGGGTAGGAATACAGCATAAAATTGGATATATTCATCTAAAGTTCAGGGGGAAAGTGTGGAATGAGGACATCAACTACAGGAAGACCAGAGTTAAAAACTAGGAAAGTGGATGACTTGCTGGGGAATTATACTGAGTGATATAAAACAGTAGATCAAGTCTGGAACCCTAGAATGCCACTGTGTAAGGAATGGGCAAAGGATGAATAAAAAACCTACTAAGGAAACAAACAAACAAAAAAAAAAAACCTGAAAGAAAGGCAGAAAAGTAGCCAAATAGCTAATATTCATTGATCATCACTGGTCAGGTCCCTGTATCAGTTTCTTCATATGCACTGCTTCATTGAACCCTGCCAACAAACCTAAAAGATAGTCTTTTTATTACTACTTTTTAGATGAGGAACTAGAAGCTTAGAGAGAGAGGTACTGCTTCAGAGTTAAGTGATAGAATACACAGCCAGATTGCAGGGTTCAAATTCTGGTTTCATTACCTATGTGTTTCAGCTTTTCATTCTTTAAAAAGCAGCTAACACTTCAAACTACTTGTTAAAAGCAATAAATTAATTATTACATGCTAAGTATTCAGAGTGATGCCTAGTACAAATAAAGAGCAGTAAGGGGTCAACATAGAGAATTTCAAAAAAATACAATAGTGTCAAATGATAAACTAGTAGATATAAATTCTATTGTACATCCCAAGCTGTTAACCATAACTGAAATTGAAATGAATAACATACATGTTAATGTGTGGATATGTGTATAAGTGAGAGAATAAAAGTGGAGGGACAGGCAGTCTACATACTTCTAAGGTAAATTCACAGTATAAAATATCCCTCCGTAAGTCAACAAAAAGAAAGATGTTTTAACATATTAGCGATACTTTAAATTTCTACTATTAACCAGTAATTAAAATAAGATTAAAAAATAATAAGACTTCCTTACACTGGATAGTTTATAACCAGGTCAATATATCTCTCATATAATAGGCAGTATAACTATTTATAAATTAACAGTTACACACATTTTCATTTTGAGGTAGATTCACTAACATTCCAAACTAGTTGAATATATCCAAAAAGGAACAACTAAAATACAAATCAAAACAGTGGTAAAACAATTAAATATATGTATAGCTTTATACTTATGTAAAGATACAACAGGGCAGACTAGCTCTTTTAACCATTTGTCCCCCCTGTAGGAAGATCAGAATCTGGTTAAGTCCCAAACTCATTTCCTCTCTTCTGAACACAGTGAAAGTTCATGCTATCAGAGAAATAACCAACAAAAGGCTTAACTCTCAAGCCATCCTCAAAAGCCGGAAATTAAGAGACAAAATTCACACTCACTTTATAAATCTGATGTGAAGGATATAAAGGCCTGGAAATAATGTGCTGCCAATTGTAACTTTACTAAATATAGAAAGATGTTTAGCTTAGACTTAAGCTATCAAACTCTTAATGCTTTCCTTCCTTGTCTCTGGTATTGCCTACTACTGCCATCTAGCAACAGGTCAAAAAATTAGAGAATGGCAAAAAAAAAAAAAAAAAGAATCAGGACTGAACTCCAAAGTCTCTAAACAGAAAATGCTTGATCTTATGGAAATTATTGAAAGTTCTGTAGTTATGCAAGACAGCTGAGATTGAACTGCATTTTCCTCGTTGTTCTTTTCCTCTCTTCCCCTGCAACAAACTATTATATCTATGTGAACTCCTAGATGTTACCTTCAACCCTGATCTCTCTCCAAAATTCCAACCCCATATTTTTTTTTTAAGATTTATTTATTTATTCCAGAGCTGGGGTACAGGCCAGAGGCATGGGAGGGTAAGAGGATTCACCAGAGACAGAGTGGGGAACAGAACAGGCAGACTGATGAAATACACTGCTGAGGGGAGCAGAGTGCAAGACAGGAGAGGTCTGCTGCGCCATGTGGGATTCTCACCGGCGGGCCGGGATCAAACCCAGGCTGCAGAGGCTGAGGACAGCTCAACCGCCTGCGCCATCAGGGAGGCCCAACACACAACATATTTTATAGCAACCCCAGACTCATCTACTTTTTTAAATATATATCTTAATGAATACAATTTTTTCCCCATAACGTAACTGTAGAAAGACTGCTACTCTCTCCAAGAATCCTGTACTGTTTTCTAGAGTTATCTAGATCCTACATGTTTCAAGATCTAGCTCATATTCTACCACTAACACAAATCTTTCTTACTCCAGTCTTAATGAGATTCTAATTCCTCTGTCAAATACTGTGTTATTCACAGTATTTGAAATGTTATCTCTATGATAACATTGAAATGTTACCTCTGTTTTCATACTTTATATTTATTTCTCCACACCTAGAGTATAAGCCTCTCAAGAACTGGAACCAGTTTTCTAATTCTCTAGTATCAATCCTCTGTATCAGCCTGAGGCTATCATCACAACCTACCTCAAGAAATTCTACTTACTCCCTCCCACCCCCAGTGTAAAAACAGAGAAACACTCAATAGAGGAAGAAAAAGAGACAAAGATAAAAAAACAATGCAAAGTGTAATATGATAGGAAAAGATACCCATACACACAAGGCTTAGAAGCAACTATCCCTTTCTGGAGACAGCAAAAACTCCTACCTAAGAAATAAACTGAATTGTAACAAAAGTAGAAAACATCCATAACCACAAACAAGGTCAATTCTTTCCAACTGTAATAACACAACCTCTAAAGGCATAGAAAGTACCACGAAGCTGTGAAATTCTGCACTTGATGCACTCTACTGTCATTACTTCTGGCAAAATGTTCGGCCTTTGCACTCACTTGCATTCTTCTCTTTTTCTTCCCTGTTCATTATGCTTTACTTCTGAGGGCCATCTGGGGGTAGATTACCTTATAAAAATTAGATAGGCAAACCATTTCCTTAAGTTGATGGTAGAATGTTAAAAATGCTATTTTTCCTATCATAGTGCACTTAACAAAGTTTGGTGAGATTTCAGTGAAAATTATCTTCCAGAGTAGGGTTTTCCCCACCCCAGAAAAGGGGAAGGAGGTAGGAGGGTAATTGTACTACAATTAGAACTTCATGCAAATAAGTGCCAGTGGTGTGATAATTTAAATGTATTTATTTATTTATTTATGCATAGAAGAACTGGGGTGCAGGCCAGAGGTTGCAGGGTGGGGGGGCATGTGAGAGAATTCACCAGAGACAGAGTGGGGAGCAGAACAGGCAAATCTCTTGAAATACACTGCTGAGAAGAGCAGTGGGCGAGACAGGTGAGGTCTGCTGTGCCATGTGGGTCAGCTCCCTAGCCGGGGATCAAATTCATGGTGCAGTGGCTGGCGATACAGTTTGAGAGTGCTGAGACTTAACTCCTTGAGCCATCAGGGATGACCAATTTAAATGTATTTAAACAAAACCAAAAAAGGCCGAATGCACAACTTGATGCTGCTTAGATCACTGCAGTTTCTAGTGCTCTAACAAAGCAAAAATAAAGCAAAAATAAAATTAAAAAGTTGCACCTGAAATGATTTTTTTAAAAAATGACCATATGCCTGGTTCCTGCATCCTGTAAAATATAGGCATTCGACACTTGGTATAGATTTTATATCACTGTATCACCAACACGGACTGGTCTGATTTCTCGGCACTCATCCTGAATTGGTCACTTCCAGGGTCCCTGGTCACTGATCTGAAGACTCTATGGGTCAGTTCAGGGAATGTAGGGGAAGGCACTTTTACGGCTCCGTGTTGTCATTTGAGGTTTGGATCTTCTCTGTGTAGAGGCTATTAATCTACACAAAACACTTTTGCTATCTCGTTATCTGTTAATGTCAAAAAAATGGAAGCAAATCAAGTTTTGCTGATTTTTTTGATACACTAAAAAGCAAGTGCCATGAAGGCATAGTTGAGGAAGCTAAAGAAAGGGTTAGGACTGGGGAACATCACCTTACATTTACACAGAACCCTGTATGCAAAAAGCATTCAGCAGACAGCTCTGGTTTGAATATAATTTAATAGCCAATCCTACATACCCAAATTGTGGAATTAAACAGTATTTTCAAAATGCTACCCTTCTTTTAAAAAATACTTTGTAAGATCAAACTATATCAAAATTTCAGAGTAATTCAGCAAATACTGTTTTTTGCTTATATGTTCTTGATCTAAAAAGATATTCACATTTTAATCATTCAATATTTTTTTAAATACCCCAATGATTCATAAATTGTTTTCTATTTTTAGAATGACTGAAGGAATTTGTGTGAATCTCAAACTCCTTTCTTGGTTCCTAAAAAAAAAAAAAAAAACCTGAAATTTGACCTTACAATCTCAGGAGAGGAAGTGGTCAAGTTTGGAGAGAATAAAATGGCTTCATAAAAATAATTCAGCCCTACATTAGATACAAATAAATGATAGGTTAATGGAATCACAAGTTAAAAAACCAAACTAACCACTATGAAAAATTTAGCTTCATTATCTTTTCTTTCTTCCTTTCTTGAAAAAAGATGCCTGTTGTGCATGGTAACAACTTTAGGACTGAGTAATAAAAGGCTGAAAGACTCATGAAAAAGATTGACAGAATCAGAACCAAGGTAAAAATACTCTTGACAGTTAAAAACTAGAAACACAATGGGAAATGGAGGAAACTGTCTAAGGCACTGGACTTAGTCAACGTGAGCAAGCTGAAGAGATGTTACCATGGAAAAGGAGGCAGCGTTTTTAAGGGAAAAGACTGCATTGTGAGGAGTTTCTTTCTTTCTTTTCTGCATGTGACCTTCAGTAAATCATAGAATGATCTGAATCTTGGTTTCTTCACATTTTCATTTATTCTATTTATTATTTACTATTTTCTTTTGTGTGACCCAATGACATAACAGTGAATAAGGTATGTGAACTCTTGCTTTATGCCTGGCACTGTTCTAAGCAATTTTATATGCATTATATCTTATTTACTCTTCTAGCCAGTCCTATAATTGTAGGTATACTTACTTCCCCCACATTGTAATTAGGAAAGAGAAGCTTAGAAAAAGTAAACAATCTGTTAAAGGTCACTTGGCTCACAAGGTGTAGTAGGGGCTGGAACTCAAATCTAATTCCAGAGCCCACCTCATAAATGCTTTCTTATAGTGCTTCTCATATGATATAAAAGGCATATTTTACAAAGTATTTTTAAATAAACACTCAAGTGTAAAATGCTATTACAATTCTTATTTGAAAAACTGAAATGAATTATATTGAAACAACCAAGTAACGTGCAGTTAAAATATTTAAAGCATATACACGTGCGGGCCTCCCCGGTGGCGCAGCGGTTGAGCGCTGGGTTGCGGGGCTGCCCGCGGCCTCTGCAGCGCCGGTTCAATCCCCAGCTGCTCCCCGGCCACTGGAGGAGGGTCCCACATGGCGCGCAGACCTCTCCTGCCGCACGCTGCTCCCCTCAGCAGTGTGCTTCGGTCCTTCTGCCTGTTCTGCTCCCCGCTCTGGCTCTGGTGAATTCTCTCGCCCTCCCACGCTTCTGACTGTGCCCAGTGCATGTATAAACAAAAAAAAAACAAATAAATAAATAAAACATGCCTCTATAAAAAAAAATAAAGCATATACACGTGTTTTATATATAAAGCTATATATGTATTAAGACTACACATATAGTCTCAATATCAGATTTTTTTTTGATGATTATATAATCAATGATGAGAAATGAAAAGTCCAGAGCAAAGTTTGGTTGTCTGGGTCAGATGTGCAAATTTCCAAGTATTTACATGCTTCAAGAATGATTTCAAATGACATCAGCTAGCAGATATGACAAATCACCTAGAGATTTTTGTTATGCCCCACAGAATAGTTAGATGTGTCTGAGACACAGTTCTAGCCAAAGAAAAAGTAATGACTGTAACATAGTAACATCCTACATGTACCCCTCTTTGCCTTTTCCCCCTCCAATTCCAGGTAAAAAGCAGAGACCTCTACTAAATAATTACATATTAAATGCCTATTCAGAGCTGGTTCTTTTTCATAATCATTGTATTCCAACATATCCATATAGGACAGTAACAAACCCAACTCATCAGATCCTGTCTCCTGTGAATTATGAATTCTAGGCAGACATGAGATGAGAAAAGAACAGATAATTATCTTCTAAAGATATGGCAAAAAAAAAAAAAATCAGTCAGCAGAACTACTGTCTTCTTGCTGCAGGATATAGAGGGCATTAGTGATGTGGTTCTATGTGTCCAGTTCTGCAAAGTCAATGGCACATTCTTGTCTTAGGAGCAAGGGCACCCAGAGTCTCCCTTTGGTTGCTTACATGACTCCCATCAACAATGTTAAGATGTGGCAAATAATTCTAAACATTATTAAAAACAGACTTATTGTGAAATACAAAGCAAAATTCACCTGAATTTTTAAGGTAGAGAAAAAATGTCACTTTTCTACAGGGTTCTTCCAGGCTTTGTCTCCTGATAGCATAGAATATTCATTTACCGCTGTTGTTTTCCAATGGAAAAGTTGGAGAAACACCAACCTATGGTAATTTGGAAGGGTCTTTTCAGATCAAAATGGGAGTCAATTAAAGTGAAACTTTTTTCTCTTGTTGCTTATACCATTAGACTTTAAGCTATAAGGCTAAGATCTGTTTTACCCTTTCTCATACCTTTTGTATGAGAAAAAGGCCCCTACAGATATCTAAGTCCTAATTCCTGGAGCGCATGGTGATTTTTCTATCTGACATAAATTATTTCTAAGGATCTTAATATTGAGAGATTATTCTGGATTATGTAGATGAGCCCTAATTGTATGCACAGTGTCCTCTAAGAGAAAGGCAGAGGGAGACTGGACTATAGAAAGTGGTAGAAGCAGAGTTCAGAGTGATGTACTTTAAACGTTTAATGGAAGGAGTGACAAGTCAACTAATATAAGCAGCCACCAGGTGGTTTCTGAAATGGGCAAGGAAATGGCTCTTCCTCTCAGAGCCTCCAGAAAGAACCAGAACCATTGATTTTAGTCCGTGAAGCGGATTTCAGACTTCTGTCTTTTGGTATTAAAGAAAAAAATCATAACTCACTAAGTTTGTGATAATTTATTAGAGCAGCTATAGGAAATGAACATACCCTTTCAACAGCTGAGCATTGATGTGCTCCTAAAACAGTTAACATGAAGAACATTCCAGTTCAGAAATAAAGAAATTCTCTTGTTTTCAGTTATGATCTTTGTTATCAAGTAAATGAGACTATCTTAAATATGCAGAAATCACTAAAAAAAAAAAAGTATTTCTTTAAAGCATCACAGGGAAAAACCGGAAAAGTACTTTGTTTATTCCAACCAAGATTATGTAACGAATAAGAGCTGCAGAAAAAGTATTCATGATTTTAGGTTAAAAATAGACACTCAAAAATTGCATGAGTAACATTCTAATGAAGCCTCCACAGGAAAAGAATTTGAAAAGTACAAAGTCATCTGTATTATCATAAGTAATTCATATTTTACATCCACTATTTCATTTGATCCTCACAACTCTAGGAAGCAGACAAGCCCGGTATCGATTTCCTTACAAACTGCGGCTGAAATGCCCCAGGATTAGTAAATGACTGATTCTGATGTCTGTCTCTTAGGCCCTTTTACCTCCATAACCACCACCAGTCATTTTACTTGTAGTAAGTTGTATCAACTTCTAAAGTAACTTCAAGTTGAGAAAGAAAACAGGAGCAACATTTTACACCACCGTATTTGAAAACCGAATGCCACACTTGCCAGCCAGACAAGCGGAAGAGAACAGTGGACGAATAACGACACTTAACAACAGGAGCGTTTCCTGGCGTGCAAACAACTGTAACGACTCATTATCTTTCTATCGCCGAGTTAATGACATGCAACACGTCCGGGCTTACGAGAGGCCAGCGCCTAGTTCCCACTGCCTCTCCCAGGATGTCTCTCCCGAATGCAAGTTTGCTTATTGACCTCGAAATAACCAGCCCAGGGGTTGGGGAGGACAGAACGTGCAGGAAGGGAAGAGCCGGGGGGGAAACGTGTCCTGGCTACCGTCCCTCCCCCTTCTCTGGGGGCCACCCTATTACACCTTGACCGCCCAAGCAAGGGCGCTTGGCCTTTCCAGCAGCAGCACCCTGAGAAGCGCTGGGGGCGGCTCCCGCCTCGCGGACCCGACCACAGAAGCCGGCCCCGGGGGCTGCGACCCCGGCCCAGACGCCCCAACACGTGGTCTTCCTTCCCGGACCCGCCCCAGGTCCCTTTCCCCGCCTCGTGCTTCAGGCTCGGGGCCTCAGGCTCTCTGGACTCAAGCCGGCGGTACGGTGCGGCCCGTCGAGAAATCTGCCTCGGCCCGGCCCGGCCCGGCCCGGTGCTTAGTACCTCACAGACAAGTCTCCAATTAGCGCGGGCCGGAGAGTGCAGCCACGCCGAGAGGACGACCGGAACTACGCCCTCCACCTCTCTGATTGGGTAAAGGCGCAAACGAAAATGCACAGGATTGGTCAGCATTAGAAAGGAGGCGGGGCGAGGCAAGCGTGCCCCGTGCTAGCTCCTATCCTGATTGGAGGAAAGCAGTGTGTCTGCGCCTGCGTCAATTTAGCTGCCGCTCGGCGCCGCGCTCCCCCGCCCCCTTGTATCAGATTAACGGAAGTTTTCACCGGCGCCGCGTTGGTGATTAGTTTGGACGCTTCTGGCTGCGTGGCCAATAAAGGGCAAGAACGACGCGAGCTCCGCCTCTTCCAGTTTATGCTGCGACTGAGAAATACGTAGTCGTTGACTCCGGCCCTGAACCCCCCGCGCGCGCTCAGAAGTTCAAGGTGAGAACGCGCAGGAAGGAGGAGTTCGCGCCCTCTGTGCTGTGACTGACATTGGCTTCAGAAGTTACCCATTCGGGGCCTCTCTGGTGGCGCAGGGGGTTGGGCACCGCACTGTGGAGCAATCCGCAGCCTCTACAGCACAGGTTCGAGCCCCAACCTGCCAGGGAGCTACCCATATGGCGCGGCAGACCTCTCCTGTGTCGCCCGCTGGTGCCTCCGCCCAGGGAACTCTGGGATTTGTAGTCCCAGACGCGGGGAACCAGCGCTTTGAAAGTGATGGTTGTTACCTAGTTCTGTTAACACCCACTGACGTTCATTGTGGTTTTCCTGTGTGCCTTTGTGCTTTTGATCCTTGCACTCAACCGCACCATTAAAGCCAAAGGACACTTAAGGAAACAAGAAAGGCGTCATGTATGTTTGTTAAAGATAAATATTAGTATTTAACTTTTTTTTTTTTTAATTGAGCTTGACACTCTACTAGGTGTTCTAGGTTGCCGTGCCAGGTCGATTATAAAATTCTTTGCAAAATTTTACTATTACAATCTCGAATAATGTACAATATGTGTACCCCCCCCCGAAATTGGACACACTTGACTTTATAACCACAGTTCTGCCTCATGTCATATCAAAACTTGATTTATGTAAGCAGCTGGGGACCTGTCGAATGAGATGTATAAAAGCTAAATTTAGAGTACTTTTCAAATATTCTCAAATAGACGTTCATATGAAAATCAAAGAATGCTTTGTTGTAATAGTAAAATTTTTACAATGAATTTTGTAAATGAACAAAAACTTCCTGCATGGACTTCTCTCGCATATTTTTTCCTATTTTACATATAATACAAACTTTTTATTTGTGTAAGGGAAAAAAAAAAACATGATTTGTGATGTATAACAGTTCTACATTTCTAGATTAAAAATAAATAACTTCACAGGATAAAATTAAGCCAAAAAAAAAAAAGCTTGAAGACTGGTGGCTGAAATTACTGCATTTTTATTTAAAATAGTTATTTTTGTAATTTTTTATTTGTTTCTAAATGATGAGAGATGGTTTCAGGCTGTTATTTGTAAATGAAAACATAGGTGTAGAACTTCTTTTTAGTCTGCTTAAATGAAGAGCCAAATTAAGTGTTGACATTAAATTTCTGCTTTTAATGTTTTATATGATGTATTAAGTGAAATATGCAGATATGAAGATGACCCCGAGGCCAAAAAAAAAAAAAATGCAGAATTATCAGTTTTATTGCTTTCCTTTAACTAACATCTTCATGGTGTTTTCCTTTTGTCTCCTATTTTAGCTCATTGGTCCACTTGGTATAGAAATGATAACCATATTGCTAAGAATGAAAGCCTTTAAAACTGTATTAAGACTGCTGCTGTGGTTATCAGTGTTCAGCAGAGGGATAATCAACTGAATCATGAGCAAATTTTGGCTGTTTTGTATTAACGGTTCTAAATGCTCACTCAGCCGTCTTTTTAGAAGCTCCCAAAGTGTTCCTTTTAAAGAGAAAAAAATTATTTGTTGGGAATTTAAAAATAGAAATAAACAGGCACCATTAACCACCTTTTAAGATGTGAACCTGGACTCTTTGTACACCATCTATTGGTAAATAGTTTAAGGAATGACCTCGAAGTGAGAGAAATGCAACGTGACTCTTGAGATGCAAAAGGAGAATTTGACAACCATTATTTGTACTTTTTTTAATATAATTTTTTTAAGATTGATTTATTTATACAAGAGCTGGGGTACAGGCCAGATGTGCGGGAGGGTGAGAGGATTCACCAGAGACAGAGCAGGGAACAGAACAGGCAGACTAACCAAAACACACTGCTGAGGGGAGCAGCAGGCAAGGCAGGAGAGGTCTGCCTCTCCTTGCCACGTGGGCATCTCCCTGGCCAGCCGGGAATCAAACCAGCATTGCAGAGGCTGCGGACAGCTTCACAGTGCTGCGCTCAACCCACTGTGCCACCAGGGAGGCCCTGTACTTACTTTATAATGTCAACATTTGTCTTTCCATTTCTGTTTTTGAAAAAAATTGTACATGACATAACTATGCATTTTTTAAATCTGTGTGTTTTATTAATAAAATTGATAATGCAAAAATTTTAAATGAAGTTTATAAAATTTTATTAAAAAGTATTTCATCCAATAAAGGTAGGGAGGTGTTAAAGAAAAACTTATTCCTGACACTTGTTAAAGACAGTAAGGCAGACTTTATTCAAGGGGACCTGCTATGATGGGGTCTTGTCATAGGGGAGAGAGATTGGGCTCAACACTGAATACAACAGGAAAAGTGGGAGTTTTTAGGAAGAGTTTATCTATATAACCCCAAACACGCTCTCATTCCACACCTAAAAATACTTGCATTTGTTGTTATTAAAATAAGAAGTTTAAATTGTGCATACTACTACTTGCAAATATTCATGCTCAATCACTGTATCAGTACTCAACCAGGAAAACACAACCAGTAGGAAATATATACTAAGGAAATTTTTGCAAAGAACTAACACAGTTGTGGGAATTCAATACAGGCAATTCCAAAATCTATAGAGCAGACAGGAAAGAAGCTGAAACACTAAGATTTGAGTTAAAGTTTCATAATTCTTCTGGGAAACTTCAGCTCTGCTCTTAACGTCACCCAGACCATTTAGGAAATCTCCTTTATTAAAAAAATTGAAGTCTGCTGATGATGAACGTTAATCACTCATATAACACACCTCATGGCCACACATAGATGAAGGACTTCAGATCATTCAAGAGTAGTGTTTCAGGCTTAGGAGTCATTGCAGAGAACCATGTTTGACATTGTCTTGTACTTGTGGGTTTGGGTTGGTAATAGCATACCAGATGTAAAAGCCAATCTCATTTCCCCCTTTCTGATAAAATACATCTAAGAGGGAAAGCACTATCTTCAAACTCCATCCCAGCCTGTCTCTCTAACTCCCTACCTATTTTGGCTAGCTAGTTCTTGAGAATTGGCCTAACAGTACACTCAAAGCCTCTGGCACCAGTCTTCCACACCATATTCCATTGTCCAACTCTTGAATCCCAGAGCCCCCTTAAGATTTCCCAATATATGTCAGGTCTGTGCCTGGATGCCTGCCTCTACTTTAAAAAGATTGCTTCCTGGTAGGCTACTGCCTCTAGAGCTTTAAAAAAATGTCAACAAGTCTGCCCTTGAAACCAGAGGGGGGGGCGGGTGGGTGAGAACATCCTGTAACAGGTGTCAGCTGGTTTATCTAGTCCACATGCCAAACTTTTTTCAAGATACTGGTGGTGTTTTAACTCCTACAGTTTTAAGATGGACTTTGCTACTTACTAGTGTTAATGAACTATTAGTTTAGACTAAAAGAAAAGTTTAAAGTTGGGGAAGGAGCAAGACTGGTGCTGAAACTCACAGGTATGTTAATCAAAAGTACTACCCACCTCTAGAAAACCCTATCCCAGAGCTGCTCAGAAGTGAATTGACTCATCTAAACTATATATTCTCTTCCTGACACTTTGAAGAATGATCAAGTAGTAAAATAGCTAAATTGAAGTTAAGAGGAGAAAAGAAAAAGGTCAGAGTATTTAACAAATAGTATCTGAGTCTCCTATTTAAGAATTAGCACCATAGCCTATTTTAAACAGAGAAGCCTAGTTAGGATCAAAAGGAGCAGCACAGGCTCTTAATAAGCATAAATTAACTTCCTTCATAAATAAAATATAAAAGTGCCTATTTGATCATATGGGGTTGATTTGAGGATATGCCACAAGATTAGCTCTAAACAGATATATCTGTGAATGAAATTACACATTTACACTCTTTTTTTTCTTGTCTCTTCTTTCAACGATTGTATCTTAATTCTACTTTCCAGGTAGCTTTAAAAAATTCTCAGTATGGACCTCCCCTGGTGGCGCAGCGGTTGAGTGCTGGGCTTGCGAAGCTGCACACAGCCTCAGCAGCACCGGTTCAATCCCTGGCCGCCAGGCGAGGGTCCCACATGGTGCGCAGACCTCCTGTCGCCCGCTGATCCCCTCAGCAGTGTACTTTGTCACTCTGCCTGTTCTGCTGTCCGCTCTGGCTCTGGTGAATTCTCTCACCATCCCGCGCTTCTGACTGTACCCAGTGCTTGTATGAATAAATAAATAAATCTTTAAAAAAAAATTTTCAGTATGGCAATTAGATTAGGCAAAAGTTGAAGATAGGTATGATGAATCCTTATGTATATAATCCCCCAAATCAACTGTTGGCTAAACTTACTAATGTCTATACTTATACCCACATTCCCAGCACCTCTCCTATCAGAATATTTATAAGCAATTCCAGATGTTATTTCATTTGTAAATATTACTCTTTGTAACTAAATAATAAGGATTTCTTTCCAAGCATAGCCACAATAAGCAGATATTTTAATAAGTACTATTGTATTACACTAAGATGTGTGATTTTAAGCAAGTTTTTTAATATCAGTAAAGCCTCAAATTACTCTTTGGATAATGGTATCTCCCTCCCAGGCATCTTTGAAGATTAATATAAAGTAAGTGCACTCAATGCTAGCTAGCACAGTGCTGCGAGTATATTGCCACTGTAGGCATGCAGGAATGACTAGTCCAAGTTCCAACCTTTGGTCTACTTATACCCCT